TATTCAATTAACGTATGATCCGATTAGTCGATTAATCGAATAAATAATCGGTGATTAATCGATTATTAAAATAATCGTTTGTGGCAGCCCTAATGTCAAGTTATAGCAAACAGGAAGTGCTTAAAGTTTTGCAGCTGAAAGCATCTCACAAAAAAACACATTCCTCACCATCATACTAATTATAGATAGCAAGTGGCAAATATTTTAGTGACACACAATTCATCAAATACTTATCTGAAATTAATTAAGACAACTTAAAGGAAGGATTTGTTCAATTATCACTAAATATCACGGAATATAAAATGTTTAATTAAATAAATACTTTGAGTGTTTTCAGTTCATTTAACAAAACTGCATTAATTCCTGTTTGATTCTATTCAAACAATTATTATAAAACCAGGCCTGAAAATTAAAAGTTGCTCAACTTTTAAAGTTTTCCTTCACATAAATATGTTTTTACACACGCACACATGCACACACACACACAAAATAAATAAACCCAACCAACTCGCAGAATGGGATTAGGCGTTCTTTAACGTGCAACTTAGCCAAATGACGTGCGATCTGAGAACATGTGTACAGGATTGTTGGGTGGCGTGTGTCTCTGCGTGACGCCGTTAAAAAAGTCGAGCCAATAAACGCTGAGCCTCAGCTGGAGTGCTGAGTCAACGTGAAGATCAAAATAAGAGCCTTTACAGATTCATCAGGTCAGTTTTAGAGACCTCTGAGAACCAGAGAGGAGCTAAAATAATGACTCAGAGGCTGGTTGTCTTGCATTGCTAGTTTTACACCAAGTTACCATGATGATGATGGCATAAATTCTGCTAAAGCTGGTAGAATGAATGGTTAAAAAAGAGAGATTAAAAGGGGCAAAGAAAACCCTCTCTTACCGTTACAATCTCCAGCATCTCTGCCTTGCTAATGTATCCGTTCCCATCCAGGTCGTACATGCTGAAGGCCCACTTCAGCTTCTGGTCCAGCCGGCCGCGCGAGGTGACGCTGAGGGCGATGATGAACTCCCTGAAGTCTATGGTCCCGTCCCCGTTGGCGTCGAACGTGCGGAAGACRTGCTCGGCGAACTTGGAGGCGTCGCCGTACGGGAAGAAGTTGGCGTAGATCTTCTTGAACTCCTCCATGGTCAGCGCGCCGCTGGGGCAGTCCCGCAGGAAGCCCTTGTACCACTCGGTGATCTCGTGCTCGGTGAAGTCCGTGTTCTCCATCAGGTCCTGCATGACGTCGGGGCGGAGTTTGCTGTTCTGTTTGCCCATCGCGGCTTCTGTTGAGGCTGGGTTCCAAGTGAGGGCGGCGGCGCTTCTGACTGTTGAGCAGAGGAGACATGAAACATTAGAAACCATCAGGTGAGAGGTGTTTTCATCCAAAGTTAGGGTCAAATGAGAGATCAGAAAACATTTCAAAACCAAAGTAATTGGGTAAAAGGCATTTCACATTCACAGCTTCAGGGTCCCTTCATAAACTCACATGCAGTTATTTAAATTTGCAAATAAACACAAACACAAAGGCCATGGCAGTTTAGTAAACAAAGAGAGAAAAAGAGACCACCAAACGTTTGCTTGGTGCAGAACCTCTCCAGATGCACAACCACACCTGTCGATACGCCTGTGCATGCATCTCTGCAAAAGCATCTTCCATTTCCTGCAGGAACCTACGAGTCTCATTTCTAAACGCACAGCTTTGCTCCCTCTTCTTCTTTGAACAGCTGTGAATGTTATTAGTGCTTTTTTTTTTTTTTTTTGACATTTAGGTTGGAAAATAAGCTTCTCTGAGTCAACTGCAGGAAGAAAACAGGGTGTGTTTACCATGACAGAGGATGAAGAACATCATTAGCTTCGCAGCTAATGTGCTTACCGTAGCTTACCCACTTCAGACCGTTTAGGATAACAGCAAGAAAAGTGGAGCCAAAAAAAAGGGTAGATAAAATCACAAAGGTCAAATTGAATCAAAGCAAGAATGGGGAGGAGTAAAAGGTTTGTCACCTTTAAGTTTTCAGTTACTAGTTTTGCTTTCTWCTAAATAAAGACTTTGAATTTTGAACAAGTTCACAACAACTTTATGAAACAAACACAGTTATGTCTTAATCTTTTAACAATTAAATAATTATTTTACTACATTGTAAAGATTTAACTTTTTCTTACATCAAATTGAGGGTTAAGTGGGATTTGGTCAACCTAAACTAAACAAATCTTCATATTCCTGCCTAAAGCTTGACAGTTCATGCTATCCTGAGCAGTTCCAGAGATTTGGCTTGATTTGTTTTGCTAATCATGAAGACCCCTGGAAAATCAGTCTGAATCCTATTTTTAGCGCAACCTAATGAGGATTTCTTGACGCTATTTAAAAGAGGAAAGCCCAAACATATTTGAACATCAGAATTTCCCAGCTGGWATTGAAAGTAGCTTCGATAGCTTGCAGGGAAAGTACCAAAAYTTTTATGTTTTTTTGATTATCCTAACACTGGAACAGCAGAAAAAAAAACATTAATCCTAAAACAAAAGACTAGTTTAGCAGCGGTCACTTCTATATGTTTGTGAGTGAATTTACACCATTACAGTACAGATATTGTAGCATTTTGCATATTTGCTTGTTAATGTTTACACTGTTTGGAAGCTTGTGTCAAGGTCAGTGGTGTCATAAATCACAGGCACTTCCCCAAAATGCTTTTTTTTAACATGAGGCACCTTGACGATTCTTGGTAAAAATCCACAAGCTTAATGCTGATTATCTGGCTCTATTATTAATTACACATGATTTCCTGCTAACAAGCAGCACGAGTGTCTACTTCTGTGAACAGAACTGCAAGTTGTACTGATACAATCAGCTAAAATAATACATCACACATGATTCATGTTACAATAAAAAAAAATTACTTTG